TATAGATACTGACCTAACCCTGACTATTCCTAATTCTAGTCACATCATCTATTTAACAATTAAAGCAATTGAATCCACATGAAACTAAACAAATGTGAAATTGATGTATATGACAGAAGTTTTGTATTTCAATTCAAAATTCAAACCATCCATCCCACTTGAATGTGATAGTAGAGGGAATTTTTAATTAAAATGGTATGATTTCAGTCTGAAATTAATCGGTAGCATCAGCGGATATATAACATGATCAATCCACAAAATTTCACCATAATTTAGTTATCAAAATTTTATCATTCACAAATTCAAAATTAGAATTAAAACGAACTGTTAAAAAACATTTGGATAATCACAAATTAAAAAATTATGCTCTATTGTATAGATTCAAATTTAGATAATATTAAAATTTTAAAATTTATGATTTGCACCTAAATTAGAATGATAAAAAAATATTTTAATTATATATTTTTATTTAATTGATATTATATATTATAAATAAATAAATAAGTCTTTATTATTATAATTTATATAAGAATCATACTTTGTAAGACTTTATAATAATAAAAATATATAAAAACTACCATTAAATTTAAATCTACGTATTAAAGCATGATTCTTGAATTTAGTGTTATACAAAATTTTATAAGATTATAAAAATAATTAGTATAACTTATATTAAATATAATTATGAATGGGATGAAATTTTTTTTAAATTGATGAAAGTTAATTAAAAAAAACAAAACTTTTATCTTTATTATTGAATATTGTGAACAAGAAAAGAAAAAAAAAGAAAGATTGAAAGAAGAATTGGATAACTTATTTTATTTATTGAGTCTCTTGTCCATGAAGCTAAATATATCCCTTATTATTATTAGTGAAAATCATAAATACTAAAATTATTGTAACATACAATAATTTTATTGAAATACAAATATTTAAAGAATACAACTTTTTTTTTTTAACACAGAGCACCATCACTTGTCCCGCAACCCAATATTGGAAAATTTTATTTTATTAGGTTCACTTTATCTTTTATTATAACTAATTTACTCCTCTCTCTCTCAAGCATTCCTCTCTCTCAAACAGATAATAGAATAAGATATTCACTAGATTAAACATCTAAAATTACAGAGTGTTAGTATTTATATGATATTTACCTTTCGTTTTTATGTTAAATATAACATCTTTACGTACAAGATATAAATAAATTAATAATAATCGGACGGTAAAATAAAACAGTTTTATTTTAATTAATCTGTAACTTATGATATAATGTACAAAAATTGTTTTGATATAAAAGAATAAGTTAATGGTATAAAACCAAATTTATAAGGTGGAATTTCTATCTTAATTACATGTCACAAATTAATAATATCTTTGATTGATATAAAATTTCTACTCATTGAATGATTTCAATGTACACATGATATTTAAATTACGAATAGACAACATGAAAATGCCCGTGAACAATAAAGAATAAGACAAGTGAGGAATATTTAAAATAATAAAAGAATGATGTTGCAGAAGATCTCACGAGGGAATAAATATAATTTTGTAAGATATTATTACCACTATTACATTACCATTAAGGTTTTAGAGTAATGAATGTGTCCCAGAAGAATGTGAGAAACGTTTGTGCTTTGTGGGTGTATTGGTTCGGTTGGGATGAGAAAGAACGACATAGGTGAGGTTGTTAAGAGGTTCTGAAATGATAACCATGATTGTTTATGTTTTGTTTTGATAGAATAAAATTGAATGAAATGCAAAATTACGTTGTACAAACATTCCCCAGAATCTCCCAGACAGGATGACACGCGGAGGAAGGGGACGTGCCATCTCCCAAACTCTCACCGCCACGCCACCTATAATTTATTCTACTCATCTCTTCCGTTTATTCATATTTCAAAACCATAAATAACACAAACAAACCCCCACAAATAAATAGTTTAAAGAAGCTACAAAATTAAAGGCTAAATAAGGAAGAATAGATTACTATTAAATATTTTAGAAAAATTCGTACAAGCTTCATGGTTGAAGTCTGGGATAATTTTTTTTTCAAATGGATTACTTTATATTTTTATATTAAAATAAATATTTAATTTTAATTAATAAACAAATTATATATATACATATATATTAATTAAAAATATTTTTTTCCAAATTAAGAAATCAGAATAATTTTATTGTTGGCGATACTATAAAAGTAAATGAGTCAAATGAAACTTAGTTGAAGCATGGATGTCTAATTCAAAGACATCATATCATTTTAAAATAAATTATTTTCTCTTGCAACAATCAGATATTTCATTTTCTCTTTAGTAAAATTATTAAATAAAAAATATATCAGAAAGTAATTATTTAGACCTCAGTTTTATATTTTATCTTCCTCTTTTATATGGTCATTATAATTATTAAACTAGAAAAGATGAAGTTAATTTTCTTTTGCTTTTTTGGTACTAAAGACATTGGGAGAAGACTGAAAACAAAACAATATAAATAGTTTAGCGAAAGAGAAAAATATGAGAAATGATTTAAAATTTGATGAAATATGCGGTATTATTTTTCCCATCTCTCTATTTCTCATCTCTTATTTATTTAATCTTTGACTTCGACTTTTTTTTTTTTGTATTTGTACTTTTTCATTAATATATTTTCACTCCATCAATCTTCTTACGTTCAGCATTTAAGGTATCACAAAATTAATTTAATCAAATTGCTTGTAAGCAAATGAATAAAAAATAAAAATAAAAATGATATTAAAATCATGAATTGTATGAAAATATGCGGACTAAAATTGTAAAAAAAAAAGACAAAAATCATATATTATCCTTTAATTTTTCTTCTAATTTAATAATTATAATAAATAATTAATCTTTAACATTAAATTCATTAATAGTAAAGTTAAAAATAATTTTATCATTTTTTTTAATGAAGTAATTAACAGGCTAAACTCATTTTAAGAAAGTGATATTGAAAAATATATCTTTATATAAATTATTGTAAAAAATTATTGGCATTGTTAAGATAAAGATGGTTAGTGTTTTGTGATGTGATTGGTCCTTCAATATAATAAATACACCTTGTTAAGATCAGCCACCTTGTTTTTGTGTTTTGAACTACCGGTGATCACTCTCACCGGTCCTAGGAGTTGAATTTCCAAGAATGCTTTGATTTACGTGTAAAGAGAGAGAAGATAGAGAAAACGATGTGAATTAATAAACAGACATTGCTTTTAACTTTTAACTTTTAACCATATCATGATTTATTTATTTCTTTTTGGCAAGTAATATCGTGAGAATAAGCTACACTCCAGTGTCATAGAAAAAGCACAACATGTGTAATGAACACAAATCTATTACCTTCATTTTTGGTTTGGACTAAATAAATGTATTATTATTTGCTTTAAATTAAGTTGATTATGAGGCACACTATAGGTTAAAAAACTCACATACATGAAAATAATATGATCATGTTTCTGTGATACTAAAGTGAACCTAAAATCAAAGGAGGAAAAGAAAGGAGCGTGCAAGTTTGGCAAAGAGTAATATATATTTACAGTAATATGGAGACAAACTTCGTATAATTCAAATTACGATGTGGTTTGTACGTAGGTTTTCATAAAGACATTAATACAAAAACATATATACCACATCGTATTTCACAATGGGAATTTTAAAAATGTTTGAATTCTCAAGATTTTATCTCAGAGTGACCCTCTTGAAAAATTGACCTTTAAGATCAACCCAAATATTTTGCCAGAGATATTGATGTTGAAGAGGTTAACCTACAAAACTGCATAAAAGAGTAGTCTTGAATTAACTTATAAAATAATATATATATTTCTTCTAATTTCTATTTATTTCTATTGTATAGTCGATTTATACAATTTTTTTCTCACCTTAAGCTAACTAATTCATAATAATTAAAATTACAGTTAAATCAATTAACCTTGTTAACTTTATCTTAAATTTATATATTTTTCTATTATTGCTTTATAACATTAATGAGACATATTCTCATAAATAAGTTTATTGAGATTAATTGTTGTAATCTCTTTCATTACTATATTTATTACTGTTTTTTTTTACTAGGGTTTGACTTTTTGGTGTATAAAGTAAGATTCTTTAAATTACCCTTTATATGAAAAAAATATAAAAATTAAACCGTAATAAATCTTAAGATATTAAGTATTTTGTTTAATAGTATCATTGGTATTAAATTAAGAGAAGTAACTCATATATAAAAGAAACAAAAATTTTAATTTGATTTGGAAAGAAAAATTAGTTAATGTTTAACCCAGTTCTTAACGGCAAGAAAAAAAAATTTATAAGTAGGAGCAATTACGCACTAACGAGGGAACAAGAACTAATTATTAAATTATAACTCAGATTCATGTTAATATTTCTTACAGCATTATTTTTTATTTATTTAATCTCATATTTTTCATAGTTCGTTTTCCTATTATTCTCGTATTGTACAATTTTTCGTGCAATCTTATCTAAGAAAAAATTTCTGAACTAGAAACGGAAACTCCTTTTCCCTCCTCAAACAAAATGAACCATGAATTGAACATGCTTCAGTTTCATCATTCCGTGTACATAGTGTCCTATTTGTTACAGTAACATATATAGGTATGAAACTTCCATCAATAAATCAAACTTGAAAGTTTTAACACTTTCCTTTTGCAAATATAAACAGTGTGTATATATATACATATTTTATCTGTAACAAATTTGTTCAACACATTTCATCGGCCAAAAATTGGATCACAGACAGAAGAAAAAATCTGTGAGAAAGAAAAGAGTTAGGAGGTTGGGAGTTTTCTAGGACTAGGTAGGTCACAGTCATGTCATGTTAGCTATAAAAGACCCTAAAACTAAAACTACTATATATAGGAGGTACAATTAAAACACAGTTCTGATTGTTTCCTTTTACGGAGGTCAAAATGAAAAGCAATTAAAAACATAAATTAGAGATGCTAATAAATTCTTAGGAGAAATTGATTAATGAGTGTCTGAGGAAGAAGAAGTCCAAAGTGATGCAGAAAGCAAGCGCCGAGATTTCCAATCCAACACTAACTTATTAGTCCCCAACTCCTCCACCCTATATCCGTCGTTGAAAAGACCCAGTAAAAGCTTCGCTTGGCAATGATTTGCGAAGCTCATCGGAACTCCCCTGAACCCCGCCGCACCCAACCACTCCCCCCACGACCCTCTCTCCTCCAGCTCTTCGCCTGTCCGGTATATCCGCGCCAACGAGCCCACTATCTTTGGGCCGAAGAAAACCCGCTCTACAAGGGCCCTGGCCCGCCCCTGCATCGGAAACCCAGCCTCCAGCGAGTCAAACACCGCGGAGTAGTGATGCAGCGAGTCCATGAACCTTCCCACGAAGCCCCCCACACTAGACCCTACCTCCTCCTCCACCAAAGTCACAAGCCTCGGCTTCAACTCTTTCGCTCCACTCAAAAACGACGCAACGGAATCGGGCGCGCGGTAACTCAGGTGCGGTAAGTTTAGCATGCAGTTAAAGATCAACGCCTCTCCGCGAACCAGCTTCAGAGACGAAGTTTTGAACGTTTCATCGGGGTCCAACCTGCACTGGTGGAACGAGAACGGCTGGCCGAGGGAGGCGGCGAATGCTGTCAATCGGCGGCCGGTCTCCTGCACGGTGGCGATGGAGCGGCGTCCGGCGCCGGTTCGGGACAATGCAGTGATTCGGAGGTGTGGGCCCGGTGGGCCTGTTTTGTTGGAGGCGAGGGCCTGCATGAGGGAGGCCCACTGGACCCCTTCCATGATGTCGTAGTCTACGATGTGGACTCGGCGCTCGTGGGCCACGGCCTCGAGGATGGCTTGGTTGGCGGTGAAGTGTCCGAATTTGACGTAGGGAGACATGTCCTGGAGCAGTTGGAACGCCGCCAGGGTGTCGTTTTGATGATGATGATCGTCGCGGGGGTGATGGGACCCACACGTCATGTAGTATTGATGTTTGCCGTTACTGTGCGCACCGCCGGCGCCTTCTAGCAGGCCCTGGAGTGCGTCGGTGAAGTACGCGGCGAGCCTGTCCATGTTGGAGCCGTGCGCCGCGTGGGACACCAACTCCTTGAGCCGAACCAATATCACTCGAGCCAGGTCGCGGCTCTTGGTGGCGCCGGTGAGGGCCTCCGCGGCGGCCATGAGCAGATGGACGAGTCTCAGACCCTTGGAATCGTCGGCGGCGGCGGTTTCTTCCTCGGCGTCGTCTTCCTCAGTGATGGAGGCGGAGGGGGAGTTGCTGGCGCCGTGGTCGTCGGGGCTGGGGTACTCGGGGGCAGCGGCGTCGCACACGATGGAGTCGATGAGGTGGTGGAAGTCGTCGTGGGGTCCGGTGAAGGCATCCCAGTTGACGAGGGGTGACCAGTGGTTCCAGTTGCAACCGTAGTCGTCGTCGGAAGAGGGGGTGGTGTTGGTGGTGTCTGGAGAGAAGTGAAGGTTGTGGATAAAATCTATGTCTATGTCCATGTCCATATGTACTTCCATGGTTGTCGGAGATGAGTATAGGAGAAGAGAAAAGAAGAGGGAATAGAAAGTAGGTAGGTAGGTAGGTTTATTGAGTAGAAGTGGTTGTGATGTGCGGGGAGGGAGATTTATAAAGGAGTTGGGAGTGGAAGGAGAGAAGAAGAAGAAGAAGAAGAAGAAGGGTCTGGAGCATGAGACAGTCGAAGTCCAAAAATTAATTGGTGATTATAGAGTTTTGCGGGCGATGACTGCCCAAATGATCTTTCATTCAATCTAATAAAATATTACTTATTCATCATCATTGCCACTCCCTTTTTTTTATACTCATCTTAGACTCTTCTAATTTACTTATAACCCCTTCTGTTCCTACATAACTTTCAACAACCCTCTCCTTCCCATCCATATCTTCTCTTTTTATTTCTTTCCCAAGGATGATTCCCACACCATACTCATTTTTTTCTATATGCCATATGTTGTTATAATAATCAATATTCAAATTCAATTCCTTCTTACATCTCAAATTTTACACCTTCAATTATCTTACTCACTTTATCCTTCTCTACATGCACAGGCCAAAAAGTGTGAAATGAAGCGTGTACAAATGTTTCATTTCTCCAATAATACACATGGACATCATAATATTAAAAAATAAACTATCCACTGTAAACTCAAACATCATGTGGATACAACAGAAGAAAGATTTAAGCATGATTATAATGCCATTTACATTTCCTTTTCTGTTCCGGAAAAAAACAATTGATGAACTAGATTTATAGTTAGTTAAAAATGTATAGAGAACTAGAAATGCAATGAGACAAAGCGAGATTCTCTTCCATATTTTTTGGGTTACATATTATGATGAAAGGGACGAAGATATATACTATTGAATTAAAATAAGTACTGCTGGTATTTTCATGTGCTGATTAACAGAGGAACAAAATAAGAAACAATATAGCCAAGGAGTCACGGGTAAAAGTGTCAAGTAAATAAGAGAATATGGCAACACAAGAGGGTGAGAAGAAGTAAAAGAGTAAGAACAAGGACTAGAGTCGAAAGAAAAAAAAAAAATTTAGCGGTATTTTTTGGAAAGGGGAGGTTGATGAAGTTATTTTGATGAAATACATTTGCGTCCTGATAAACATGATATAGAAATCATCAACACGAAAGCTCAGTTTTGTTGAAAAGTTAAATTTTAGCCTCATATACATCATGAAAAAGACATATAAGCCTCAATATCTCATAGTGGTATTGTAAAGGAAAATGTTAAAGAAAAAAATGAAACTCTCTGTGGAGCCTATCTCAGTGTCCCAGCCACCTCATCTTGACAGTGCCAATATTACTTGGCACCTTATCATTGGCTGAGACTATCTTCATCCCACGTCATCAAGTGGGGAATGTCTTCTCCTCTTTTATTGGTTCAATTTCACAAAGACTTGATCAGAACGCACGAGTGAGTAGAGCATAGAGAGCGTTACAGTACACAATTTTGATTACCAAGATAAACTTCGAAACAAACGAAGAGCTATCTATGCAGTGTCTACCTTGAAGGGCACACATACTTTTGATAACGTATTGACATAAATCCTCGTTTTATTGGGTTTCCAAATAAATTATCACCCACGCCTACGCTTGTTTCATTGCGTGTTTCACAGATAGAATAATTGATGCTGCCGCGATTAGACGTGATGAGTCAAGTTGTCTTAATTTGATGTGGAAATTACTTTCATTTATTTATGAGATCGTGTTCATGTCACAGATACAGAACTATAAGAACCACCTTGAGATATTATGAAGGGACATAATTAAAAATAGCTCTATCAGAAGACCCCGCGATTCATGCTAATCAACTCGCTAATATAATGCCTTTCTACTTACCTAAAAGTTATATACATTTCCAACCTTGCCAATGATAAGTAAGTCGTTTGGCCTTAAACTGTTTGAATTATGTCTCGTAGATATACTTGTAAACATGGCATTGGAAAACGTAGTTTGATTTGCTACACAGGTCCATTTTGCCATGTTTATGAACGTTGACAGAATCAATTCAAATAATCACGTTGCCCAAGGAAGAAGGAGTCTAATAGTAAAAAATGTCACTTCTCCAACTAGTAGTATAACCTATGTCAAAATATTATGAACAGATATGGAAAGAAAGTCCGACGACACTAGCTACAACTGTTACTAAAAAAAATACAAATCAATGATAAGAAATGGGATTAGGTTAGAGGGGTGGGCGGATGCATTAGGAGTGTCACTCTATTAATCCGTTTTATCTAATCCATAATAACAAATTAACTTGTTCATCTATTTTTAAAAAATATTTATATATTAAAATTAAAATATTATAATTATATAGTTAAAATATAAATATATTATAATATTATAATTTAAATTATAAATATAAATTAATTAAATTTAAATTATTAATTATAATTATAATTATATATTTTAATAAATAAATATAATAATTATTTTAATTTGTTAAATAAAATATTAACTAATAAACAAAATTTTAATTTTTTTATATAATTAAATATGTATTTTTAAAAAACTAATATAAAAAATATAATAACGAGCTTACTCGTTAATTTGTCAATCCATCTTCTAATCGATGATATAATCTATAATCTATCCTATTTATGATAGACCAACGTTTCATATTTTATGGACTAGAGACCGAACAAGTAAATCTTATTAAATAAAATATGTTTGACAATATTTTTTTTAACAATATATTCTTTAACACATTAAATATATAATTGAGTAACTATTTTAATGATGTTAACACACGAAAAGTTGAACCATTGACGCTAAAAATTAAATTAAAAAATAAAAATATGGTTAAAAGAAAACATAATTTGAATATATATATATATATATATATATATATATATATATATATATATTGTATCAAACTGAAATAATTATATATAAGTGTGAGATATTTCGATTGAATATCTTGGTAATATATGAATATATTATTGGTCATATCTAAATATTTGGACAATATTTGAGTACTCGACATAATTAAGTACCAACCATTATCTGATTATAAAAAATACAACAAAATATCATATTTCTACGATCTTGAGTAGTTATAATAATCCATCCTATATATACTGGTTCATTATCTCATCTTTTCCATTTATACTCACCTATTCTCATTCGCATACTTACTTCAATATCAAAGAGTTCTTTGCAGGATTTCCCTACACTTACTCAATTGGTTGAAGAAGAGTTCAAATGTCCTATTCAAACTCTGATAATAATAATAATAATATATATATATATATATAAACTTAAATAAACTAAAAAATAAAAAATAAACAATGCAGACTAATTAAATACTTAAATTAAACTATCATAACAAAAAATAGTTTAATAATTTTTTTTAATGTAAACAAGATTATATTATTAATTAATAATAATTATTTGTGATATGATATTTTTAAATAATTAATTTTAAAATAATATATATATATTAATATTAGTAAAAAACTTAGATAAGTACTAACGAATATATGCTTAAAATATTTAATGAGAAATAAACAAGTTAATGTTGAATTCTTAATACAAATATGTTGTAATTTGATTAACTTAAAAAAAAAAACCGATCTTTAAGATTTATATTAAGAAATTAAGGGTATAATTTTTTATTAAAAAATTGATGCATTTTTAACATTAATAAAAAATAAATAAAAGAAGACATACGATTAATTGTTGAAAAAGATGTATTAATAATTTTTAATTTTTTAATGATGTTTCATTTATAATTGTCGTCATATGTGACATATCACGATAATTTTGTAAATAACTGTTATTATATATGACATATGACGACGATTCTTCTATAATCATCGTGATATATTACGACGGTTATAAAAATATTATCATTAAAATGTTAGACATACAACGATTCTATTTATAATTGTTGTTATGCAAAACACCAACATGATGATTATATTTATAACTAACGTCGTATGTCTAAGCTTTTAATGACGATTCTTTTATAATTGTTGTTACGTGTCACATACGATGATAGTTATAGAAAAATCTATTTTCGTATATCTCGTTAAAATTTTTAATTTTCTCCATTTTATTCGTTTTATTTGTGCGTTTTCACTTTATTTTTTTTCCATTTTTTCTGTTCTCCTCCTCCTCTGTTGCAGATTTTATCTTTCTTTGTTCATTATGATTAAATTTTTTTCTTCTCTTTCTTCCTCTTTATTTTTCAAAGTGTTTCTCTTCACTTTATATTGAAAATGTCTCTACCGTAAGTTTTCAACACACTTAAAGTTGCTATATGGGATAATAACAGTTAAAGACAATGTTTTGTTAAAGTAGAGTAAAATGTTGTACTGACACATTGAAATTGAGTTAGAAGAGGAGTAATGAGGAGATAGAGAAAATTTATAGATTTTTTACAACAGAACAACGAGAGAATAATGAAAGCTTCTATTGTGAATGAACAACAATGAGGAATGAGGATTGCTGTGACGGAACTTTCAAGTTTATTGTATTACTTATGTGTTTGTTGTGACCCTTCTAGATTTGTTGTTTAGTGTGATAGAACTTTTAGGTTTGTTATGATTAAAAAATATAGGATTTTTAAAATATAACAATGATTATAAATTTACCTATCCTCCTGTGGATAATATACGACGACGGTTAAAAAATCGTTGTTATAGGTATTATTTAACGGTCGTAAAAAAAGATTATTTATAATATATTAAAGTCTACTAATTACTTATTCATTAGTTGATGAATTATTTCTTATACTTTTTATAATATTCAATTAATTAATTCATTAAAATTAAAAAAGTTAATAGATTTAAATTTCTCTAAAATTATATATATTTTAAACGACTCCTAACATTAATAAAGCATTTAATTCAACCTTCTTAAAAAGATTAAGTTAAAATTTTAATTTGGTTCATATAAAAAATTAGAATTAGTAATAAATAAATATATCTCATTTGTTAATGTTAAAAATGTGTTGAATTAAAGTAGTTAAAGCACATCGACCAGTGAGTGTTGTTGACTCACATTTTAAGTTAACCAACTACTGCAACAAAGGATGCAACTCTAGATTTCTGAAGATATAATCACTGCAAACAACAACGACTTCTACAACATTATTTTTGAAGTAGGATGAGATTAGTCTCACGGTCAAAAGCAATAAAAAGAAACAGAATATATATCATTCTGTAAGTTCTTCTGATAGGCACCGCATCACTGTCGATAGCCATGTGCTTGAGTTTCACAGTTCCTCGACCCAAATTCATCCCTGCCATGCATGTGATTGTGTTTACTCTTCCTAATCATGTATCAGATGTTGATTAAGTGAAAAGTTGATGAAGTGAGAAAGTTTCATACACGCATGAACTTAAAAAGTTTTAGGTTAGATACGATGCGATATTCTTTTAAACTTCATATTTATTTATTAAAATAAATCGATATTAACACTACAAAAACATTCAATAATTAATAATATAAAAACTAGTTAAGTATTATAATAAAGATAAAATATTTTATAATTATTATTATATAACAGGTTTTGTATTTTCTTTATGGGGTTATTATTTTATTTTTTTAACTTATCTTTATAATAAATTTAAGCATCAGATGATTTTGGTAGGTGTCACTTTTTTAATCTTCTACATATTCGGATTCAACCAAAAAGAAATCTTTCCAAATTCGGTAACAACATTAACCTTCGTCTTAACTTGGCTTAACACTTAGGAGGGGCATAATTATTTTTGAATTTACAAAATTTAAAGGGATACATGTTTTCCCTAGTAGTGATCATGGGGTCGGCAACGAGGAAGTAACAGATTATGCTATAACCCCAACAAAATCATTTCTGAAAATGACACTGACTTGTCGGGTTAGCAACTAATTAAAGTTTGCAATCCTTTGTTAAAAATGGCCACAGGCCACGCTCACAGCTTTAAATAAATGGCCACAACTTCTAATGAGAGTGCTGCAACAGAACAGTGACATCAGTAACACTTAATTATTGTTTAGTTCCTAATGGACTAATAAAGTCAATGGTTTGACTTGATATGTACAACTTAAGAGATTGTTTCACCCATGAATGCACCCAAAGAGTTACCTAATCCAATGGCCGGCATGTTCCTCAAAACCAGGCAAGGAGGCAGTCCCATATTTGTGAGGCAGTCTCCTTTCCGCGACTCATAATCCCGTTTGGGCGGCAAACAAGATCACTTGTCACTAATCATGGTTGTTACAATGTCATTATATACATCAATATTGTTAATTAATTAACAACAAACGCATGCATTGTAGATACAAAGAAAGAACTATAGCATTGTTCATCTCAATATTCTTTTTATTCCATCCTTATTTGTGATTTCTTCGAATAATACACAACCCAATAAAGATTTAATGGTTTTTTTAGACAATGATATGTATTTACTCTCTCTTTTTTCTCCACACTCTTACTCTGCATTCTTTCTTCCATGTATTCATCAAATTCCTTGTAGTTTGTTTATATAGATCTCGCATGTTAGAGTTAGACTACACGAGAAAACACTTTTACATACTCTTTAACAAAAATCAAAGATCAAAACGCACCATGATTTATTTCTTTTATATTGTGTTGAACAACTGCTCCCAAATTGTTTATTTATCAGAATCAAATTGTTTTGTTTTATTTTCCTTGTAAAAAAGGCTTCGAGAATTTGGTATTTCTAGGTGAGGGATCCTTCAATGTTATAAGCAAAGGAACTCCATTATATCATTTGATGTTATTAGCCTACACTTTTTCTTTTCATCTTGAAAATGGTGTTTTCTGAGAATATTATAAATATATTCTGTGTATCTAAAATGTGTTTTGAGAAAAACAGAAATAATTAATATTTGAAAAGTAATATACTTGGAAGGAATTCCGATTAGTTAATAATGTAACAAATTTCACATTGAGAATTAGTAGGAAAATTAAATTGTAAAATTAGTAATAGTTGTTTATATTTATTCTGTCGTCAAACAGGTTATAAAGCTATTCTGCTCCCTTAACAGCCAACTATAATTAAAATGTCAAACATTGTATTATAAAATAGAATTTAGGGTTACATGTGGCATAATATAAAAGATAGCCACTCAGAGGACTTCATAAAAATAATTAGGAAGCAAGCAAGAGAATCTTTGGGTCACAGGCAATAACCATTTTAAATATAGATTTAGGTGCCTCTGTAGTTGAGTCCCAATCTGCAAAGTAAATGTCAAACAGAAATAATAAGGAAAAACAACTAAAAGTACAAACCCTAAAATGTCATGGTTCGAAAATTTCAGGCACAGGTGTGATTTTGATCTGCCAGTTGTTGCCCGAACAGTGTTGACAAATTATTATATTCTCATCGCATTACATATCTATGAATCCTCTAAATTTATAAAATAATATATATCATTTTGCATTTAATAGTTATTTCAACAGATCATTTTTAAAAATATTTTAAATTCACTAAATTAATTTAATAACTTTCAAATTTCAACTTGATCTAGTTTTTTAATTATGTTTCAGCTTCTAATTATTTTGTACCTTTGAATTGACTTTAAATTTACTTTATATATAATTTGTCCTACTTTAAAAATTTGATTGGGGGTCTAAATATAAAATTGAACTAAAAGAATTTTAAATAGCTTTTACATTGAATAAAATATTTTATATTATATTTATTTTTAGACTAAAAGTATAATTAACTTCATTTTAAAATTGTTTTTAACCAAAATACATTTTATTTAAAAATATTTTACACAAAACACATACTTAGAAATTACAAATAACTTCAAACTAGATATACAAACCTGAACCTATCTAATATTTGATGAAAAATATACTATCCATTTTTTTACATCATACGTAGTTGTTTTATTTTTATAGTTTAAATTTATATTTTAAAAATATAAATTTATTATAATAAAAATATATTAAACTTATAATTGTATAACTAAAATACAATAGAATTCTTAACTAATATTTAATTTATATATTTTTTAAACTATTGTTTATGTATATAAGATGTGGACATGCTTATAGTTTTAAAGAAATAAATATAAAGAAAAGTGGAGAAAATGCATGTTTTATGTTTTTTTATTTTGAAGATTTGTATTTTGTATTGACTCTTTCAATTAAAATTACATGTTATATTGAATATTTCATATTAATTCTTCGTGCCGATGGTGTATATATTGACTTTCATTATTCGTTCGTGTAAATTCTCTTTATTTAGTTTTTTTTTTTTTACCTTTCAATTATAATAATGATCTGACACTACCAATATTATTGACATAAATGGGATATACGTTGATATTGTTAGTGTTGACTTCTTGCATGACGAGGAAATTTTACAACCGCTACTGAAAATATCTTTTATTTAATAATAATCTCATATGATTCATCACACAAAATTAATATGAAGCGGAAGTTTAAAAATAATTCATTATATAATTAATCAACTAATTACAAAATAAAGTGATCTATAAGAAAAAAATTAAATGGTATGTATAACCGACTAATGCCTAATAAAAAAATATTATATATTTGATAAAGTGTAATGTTTTGAATGGCTATCAAGCATTTTTATGCTAATCCCAAAAATATGAAACTTAAATAAGAAAATGAGTAAAAATATTTAGACGATCAAATTTGATATAAAGAAAGTTCATATTATTCTTTTATTAATTAAGTATGTTTTTTTATAAAAATATTAAATAACTAAAAATAGTGAAAATAGTATTATTTAGTTTATTTTCTAATTTGTCTATATTTTTAATCTATTTTTGTTTTAAGATTGATGTGAAAAAGTATCACGGTAAAATCACTTATAATTTGCATTACATCAAATATTATAATAAAAAAAATCAAATACAAGATTAATGATAGGGATCGATCAAAGTTCATAATAAAAGCAAGTCTTAGTTTAGACAAATATTGTCTATTTCTAGATCTAATTTATATAATAAAACTTGAAATATTTTTTTCCTAAATGAAATTATCTATATATTCAAGATTCTAATTAGTTAATTTATTAGTGAATACATTTATTTTCCTAAAAATATGAGAACATCTAAAGATTAATCAAAATTTTCTTTTATTATACGGATATAACTTTTAATGTATAATATAAAATTTCTAAAAAGTTACAATCACTAAATCTTAATTGATAAGATTGATTTGATTTGTTAAAAAGATAAATAATAATTTTTTTATGAAAGATTAAAATATTTTTAATATAAATTTAGTAAAAATAAAATAAATTAAAATTAATATAAAATTTAATATAAAATAATTAATTAATAAAATGAATAAAAAATTTAATTTTAATTTATATATAAATTAAAAGTATATATTATTAGGATCAAACACTTACTATTATGTCAAAAGTTATAACCATTCATCGAGAGCGCAACTCTTTTTATTTAATAATAACGATCCAAACGCCACGATTCGATTATAACTCAGCTCACTCGACCTTCGCCACAGGACAATTGATACTACCTACAACAATTTTTCCCTCAACAATTGTCCTACGAGGAATCCCACTTGGATTGTGACTTGACCCACTAGACAATTGTACAACCCGTAACAATCTCCCCTTAACAATTGACCACCAGGAATCGAACTCGTGACATTGACTCGATACCAATTGTTAGACAAATGACATCTAGAGAAGGTGAATAGATGCACAAATTAAAATAGATGTCAAATTAAAAATTTATTTATTTAAGATGTCAAATAATTTGTTAATTAAAAATATATTTATATTATATAATTTATAACAATTTATAATTAATATACTTAATTAATTTTGTAATTGATAAATTAAAATTTATTAGGTACTGTTTATAAGTTTATTTCTTATTTAGTGTTTTATATTATTAAGAAATATAAGAATATAGATTATGAAACATAATAGTCAATTTTAAAATAATTAAAATATTAATTATAACTATTTTAAAATATATAATCAATTATTAGAATTTAGACGTACGAGTTTTCAATTGAATTTAAGACCAATATTAAAATTAGATATACACGTATTTTAAAGAAAAATAATTGTTAAAAAATATGTGAATATCTACAAAAGTGAATATGTCACATGAGAAAAGAAATTTTGTCTCCATTATAATTAGTTTTCTAGTATTTTCTTCATGAACACTAAAACCTTTGAAGCAAACAAGAGCTACGAGATAATCACATTCTAACTTCATGTTCCAAAATAATCATCACTATAAGTTGTCTCAAATGCATTGACAGTATTATAAATATACA